CGAACCTCATTGGAACAAAACAACATTAACATAACGTGTTTTAGGTCTCTCAATATTGTAATTTTACAAAGGAAATTTTGATGATTTTAAAAAAGTATCTTGTATGAAATAAAGAGGTTTATCTTGATTTTTATCTATTTTGGGGGGATTTTGATTTACTTTTTCGAATACTTTTTTAAAATCAACCAAAATTCCTTTGTATACCTATGATATCGAGAGGTCTAAAAACATGTTGTAAATGCTATTTTGTTCCAACAAGGTTCGGAAAGACATTTTATTTCATTCTCAAGAATTTGTAGAAAGGAGCAAAAATAATTGCACTAAAAAAACAAAAAATTTTAACAAAAACAGTCATGTAAAATATTTCTAAATAATTTTCGCATTAAATTGTTGTCAATCAGTCACCATTACATAAAATACCGTGTTTTTTTACAGAATTTTTTCAATGATTGGTTCAAGAGAATAACATTGTTGAATTCAGTTCTCCATATCAATACCAATCCTTTCACAATAAAGGTTTCATCCTTGAGGTAATGTAATGAAAGTATGTTTTAGGATTTAAGCCTTGGACTCAATGCATTGTGTGCTGAACCATTTCACAAATATGTTGTTTCCAAATCTTTGCATGACTGCACAGCAGAATGCAAAGTTTGGGAAACAACGCCTGAGTGGAGTGGGCCTATAGGATCGACCAGGCGTCCGTCCGTTGGTCCGTTCGTTGGTCCGTCCGTCCGTCCATCCATTCGTTGGTCCGTTGGTGCTATTCGGTTTGAGTCATATCCACATTCATTTTATGCATATCCATAATGCCTATTGACCTATCATCGCCAATTCCCAAGTTCGCCCGGTTTCCGAGAAATTGCTGATTTTGACATCAAAAAGTCAAATTTTCTGTAAATACGAGACACTTTGTTGAAGTAGAACTTTCAAATAACTTAAAGTAGTTGCTGTATATGCAACTTATGTCCTCTGAAGATTTCAAAGCTCTTGGAATTACAGTTTTTTTTGGTGTTTTTTGACAAAAAGTAGGTCATTTTCAGGAAACTTTCTCATGTATAAAGTCAATGGCAGATTTTGTGATTGACAAGTTTCTCAAAGTTTGCCTTATACTTGATCATTTCTTGCAATGAATTACATCATTACTAGATTTAAGCATTCCCTACATATTGCTCAAAATATGTCAGCATCAAATTTTTACAGTTTTTGAGATATTTGACTTCAAAAAAAGTAAAATAAGTTATTTTTCAACCTGCTTCAATTTGACCATTTTTTGGAAAATCATCTACAAGTTGCCAGGAGATCAAATCTGACATTTTAGGATTTGACCTTTACTTGACCTTCAATGACCTTTGAAAGGTCAAAAAGTTGATTTTTCAAATTGATTTTTGGATATGAATTTTGGTCAGCTTAATCACAAAAAACCTTACTGAGCTCTGAATAAGTAAGATTTTCAAGGTCAAAGGTCATCAAACTATGTCACACAACTGTGCTATCTAAGTTTCTCAAAGTTAGAGACTACAAATCCAAATCAATATTTTTGTTTGAAAGTCAGGATATACATTCCTCTGAAGGTTCCAAACTGTGTGAGCACAGGACCGTGAGTCCTTTATTACACATTGTAAAATATTTTCAACAAAATCACCTAAAAGATACAAAATCATTAAAGAACATATTTCTAATGAAAACTCTTGCAGGGGTCAAGTATTGGCAAAACATCAAATTCATCTCCTCACCTTAGCAACTATACAAAACAAATGTGTTATTGATTATTTCACACACTGTTGTCAATTAGAAATACTGTGTTCGGATTGGCTGGAATCGGACACACCTTACTTAGCTATGTGTGAATATAATATCAGGCTTACCTTAAACCAAGACTTGTATCAAGATGCACTTACTTCATATACCTGTTACCTGATTGCACTTATCTTTACATTCCATTCAATTATTTTATCTTTATTTTCCAGGAGAGAGACAGCCCAGGCATCAGACTATCAGGAGGATAGTAACAATGTCCCAAATTACAGCTATGACACTTCCCAGTCTCAATACAATAGTACCACAGCCCAGGGATCTTCCTCATCGTATTACAATGAGGCCCAGTCTCAGAACTATGCTGAGCCTCCAACAGTACAAAGACAGGCACCCCCTGCCCCTAGGAGACAAGGACTGCGTGGAGGGTTCCGTCCTACTCGAGGGAGGTGTGGGGGAATTGGAAGAGGTCAACCAGGCCCTAAACCAACAGGTTACTCCACTGTCGCCCCAGTTGGCACTCCTCCTCAAAGGAAACCAACTAGTTCTGTTGAAGATATCACTATCATTGACTCAGATGATGATATTATAGATGTCACTGTGGAAGAGTCGCCATCTAAGGGACAAGCTTCTCAACAGAGCAAACAGCAGCAGGAGGAGCTGAAGCAGCAGGAACAAATACGACAGGTGGAAGCTGAACGGTTGGAAAAACAAAAACAAAAACAACACCAGGAACAACAACTTAGACAGTATGAAATGGAACAGCAAGAAATATTAAAACGACAGAGACTTGAGAAACAAAGATTGGCACAGTTGAAATCGAACCGAGAAAAACAACAGAGAGTCAGAGAACAGCAGGATATACAAAGACAGCAGCAAATGGTTCAACGGCAGAAAATTGAGCAACAGAGAAAAATGCAACAGCAATTAGAGCAGCAAAGGAAACTAGAAGAAAAGCGAAAGAGAGACAGGGAGATGCAAAAACACCTTTTGATTAATTTGCAACAAAAGCAAAAACTAGAGGAATTACAGCATCAAGTTAAAGAGCAAGAAGACAAAGTGAGACGAGAGCAGGTTGAGAAAATCAGACAATTACGAAAACAACAAGAACTAGTCAAGGAAAGGATACAGAAAGAGCAGCAAGTGCTCGAGGAACAATCTCAGAGGTTGGATCAGAATGCGCAAACAAAAAACAATATGCCTTACCCTCCTCGCCCAGGTGTTTACCATTTTGCAACCCCTCAACAGTCCAACATAACGACACCACCAACACCAGCAGTAGCAGCACCTCATCCAACAAAGGGTAGTAAAAATCAAGGTTGGTAATTTGAGGCCAGGGCGCATGTTTGGAATTTTTATGCATTCTTCACATGTTATTTCTAAAACAGGAATCACTCCTTCCCCACACTGTCTACATCTTCCAGTTTTGCACAAAGAGTGCACTAATGTGCCTAGAAAAGACTGGTGAGAAGATTTTTTTTGTAATTAAACGAGAAAATTCAGTGAAAAAAAATTCTGAAAATTTTCTGAATTTTTTTCACTGAATTTTCTTGTCTTTTATACATTTTATCAAGACATTCTTCTTCACATTCTTTTCTAGGTGCATTAGTATACTCATGCAAAAGTGACAGATGAAGACATTGTGGGGAAGGAATGGTTCAAATTCGAAAAATAACATGTGACTCAATTGTGGGTTGTAGCAAAATTCTGAACATGCACCCTGACATTAAGCTGATTAACCATATGTGCAGGTCAGAATAATTGATTGTATGAATTGAACATCAAGTTTGTTCATAGATTTCATAATTAGCTTTTGCCAATATGTTCCCCAAGTGGATGCAAATTCTCATTTTCACAATTTACACCAATTCCTTTCATAATTTGTCTCATTTTTAATTGAATGCAAGTGGAATCTGGTGTGGATGCAGGCCTGTAATTAAAATCTCAAGTGGGTACAGGGCCCACTTGCTTTAATGCTGGGGAGACAACTGCTTGTATTCAGGACAATGTAAATATATTTGTTTTTAGGAGTCATTAATACAAACCAGATTGTCACCATTGATGATGACGATGCTGACATTATTGCCCTTGATAGTCCACCTGCACCTGTTCCTACCATTCAGAGCCAGACTGACCAGCCCTCGCAACAGATACAACCAACACCAATTGGTGATGTTATATTGAATCAGCATGCAACCCCACTTCAAAAGGTATTAACTATACTTTCAAATTGTATCCGTATGTAGGAAAAAGGTACATGTTCAAGGAACTTTATCAATCTTAACATCTTAAATCTTCAGTCTAACCATATCAGATAAAAGAAGGTGTGTACATTATTGGTGAATTAGAATGATCTGTCAATTGTATGTAAAATTGTTATGTTAAATTTTAATTTTGAAAGTTGATAGTAAATTCTAAACTTTCACGGCTACCCCTAGAAAATCACAATTATTTTTCTTGTCACACATAGTTTTTCTTACAAGTCTTAGTTTTTATCTATTAAATAAAAAATAATTCCATTTTGCCGAA